AAGGCGAGGTTTGAAAAAGTCATGGAGGGGGGGAAAAAAGGGCCCCCCAAAGTAGTAAACCCGGGTTTAAAAAGGGGGGGGCCCGGGAGCTAAGACTCGACCCCCTGCAACCAAAAATTAGGTGAGACACACACCCCACACAAAACACACAAATTAAACATTAGAGAAACATACTCTTTCAAAAGTTTACTGATGTTAAAGGGTTCAAAAACATGTTTGTAATTTAGTGCTGTTTTTTCCCAGTTTACTTAAAAGCCCGTGAGAAACAACACCCCCACGAGTTGGGGTTGAACCAAGCTGGATTTATGCAAGGCCTCCCTGGGGGAAAGGGTGCCAGGTGCTGGAGAGGGGCTCAAACCCAAAGAAAGGGGACCCATCCCCCCTTTTCCTCGGTTTAAAACCGGGACTGCTTCCCCCCTTCCCCAAGGGGTTTATATAATACCAATCCCATTTGGAACCCCCCCCCCCGAGAAAAATTTACAACAAAGATCAAGTACCGTTTAGAAAATGTTTGAGTAACAGCCAAATGCGAGCACTTTTTTAGAGTAAAAATCAAGATATCGAAACAAAAAGAAAAAACAATGGATATCATGCACTTTGTGGGGAGCACAAGACCATCTAAAAAGGGCATAATTTTGGGGTTATTTTAGTAGCCAGGGCTACAGAGATGGTTTATGGAATTTTTTATACATAAACACTGGGGCCCAGGGTAAGAATTTTTCCCAAATTTAAAAAAAAAATGTTTTGGGGATGGATTGGTATGATGGTGGCAAATAAAATTTTGGGCACAAAAAACCCCGCAGTAGAAGAGGGGAAAGCTTCCCAAGGGGTTTGGCCCCAAACTTGGCTGTTTACAGTCACACTGTGCCTTTTTTTTTTTTTAAATGAAATGAAATATGAGACGTTTTTACTTGAAATAAAAGGCCCGAATGTTTTTCTTAAACCCGTTTGAGGGTTCAGAAAGCGAAACCCCCAACAGTTTTGTTAAAAAAGGGGTTTCCCTGGCCTGGTAGGCCCCCGCTCCCCCGCTTCACAACACAACCCCACCACAAACCACACACACACACAAACAACACACACACCCACACACACACACACACACACACAGGTGGGGTCGGGGTTTTCGGCAAGGGGAAAAAAACACTGGGATTATTTTGTTACACCTTTCTCCCGTTCACCCCGCAAAATAGGGGAACCCGGGGTTAGTCGACTTTTTGTGGGCGCAATTTTTTTGGGGCAAACCCGAGGACTTTCCCAATTGGGAAAAAAGACAATCCCCCGATGGGTTATCGTTTGGAAAAGGGTAACCCCTTTGGCGTTTTTTAAAAAAAACCCGGGAAAAAAAAATTTTCTCCTTAGGGAACAGGGCCCCACTCCCCACCTCAGGATCAGACCCACTCTTTTAGTTACCCCAGTCCAAAAACGTTACCCACTGAACCAAAAAACTGAACCAGGCAAGGGAACACAATGTTTTTTAATTACAAAGTACAGTTAAAAACGTGTCATGATTTGTTTTTTTTTTTATATGACTAAAAACCAGCTCTGTTTGTTTTAGCTGGAAAAGATCAGATAAAAAAAAAAAAAAAAGTCATACCCAAAAAACGGGCAGTTTTGGAAAAACGACCAGCCAGTCTCCAGTGACCAGCCCGTCTCCATTTACCACCAGTCTCCAGTGACCCCGCCAAACCTCCCGTGACCAGCCAGGGCCTTTAAATGACCAGCCAGTCTTCAGTGACCAGCCAGTTTTCCCGTGACCGCCAATTTTCCCAAGGGGGACCGCAGGTAGACCGGGAAGGGCAATTCTAGACAGGGATACCGTGGCTGGCGCCACAATACTTCGAGCCGGGCCCCACACGCAAGGAAGGAGCCTTTTTTATCCCCTGAGCCAGGTTTTAAAATAGACTTCTTTTCCCTTCCCCCCCCTTCCCCCCCCCCCCCCAAGTGCTATGTGGGCTCCCCCACTTTTGGGTTTTAAAACTTCCCACCCAGCTGTAACAATTTGGACAAGGGGTTTTAGTAGGGCAATGTTACCATGGGGAACCCCCCATTGATCAAGGCCCTTTTTTCCCCGTTTTTACAGAGTCCTAACATTCCAAAAGATAGGAAAGGGTAAGAAATGATCCCTTGTGGGTTTCGTGCTCCCCCGTCAACAAAGTTCACCAGCCTCCGCTGACCCTTAATTTTTTTAAAGTTGTGTGTAGACATATAACTTAGATTTAAATGACCTAAAACCACAAGGGCCAAACCCATATCTTTATTGTTGAAAAAACTTCCCCCCTGCACAGTGACTTCTTCCCGTCGAGTACAGAAAGTAGAAATGTCATCTCAATGCTCTTCCTACTTTCTGTACTCGACTGAAGATGCCCGGAAAACCCCCCAGGTAAAACTGATAGACCGACCTTCCCTGCAAGGCGAAAGAAGATCACCACCAACTACTTGTTTTATGTCTTCCAGTCTCCCGGGTTTTTCTTGTGTTGGAGATAAAGCCACTGGTGGGGGAAAACGTCTCTACGTAAGGGTTTTTCATTTTGTTTTCCGTGGGGCCCTAAGCATGTTTATAAAAACCCTTACCATAAAAAAAAACCCAAATTTAAAATTCTTAAAAAGTGAAACGTCGAAAGGAGGGTCTACAAAGGGCGAAACAGTGGGTGAATTTCTATGCACAAGTGGCCCTGAACAAACGGATGGCCCCGCTGACTTTTTTTTTCAAAGGTAAAAAAGGGAAAATTTAAAAAAGAACGTATGAAGTGCAAGGAAGAACCCACAATAAAAAATAAAAACGTGGGCCGAATTTGGGAAAAAATTGTCAATTACAAGAACTCTTTTAAAAATTTAAACCCCTTCTAAAAATTTTTTCTTGTTTCAATTTTAAAATATATTTTTTTATTGTGTTAATATAAAATTAAATTTATTTTTTACCAAAAAAACCCTTTGAAAAAAATTTCCTAAAATTTATTAAAAACAAGCGCAATTTAATTTAGCCTAAATCCACCTAAATGCATTTTATACAAGTTTACAATAATTTAATAATAAACAAACACAATGAAATATATTTTTTTTCGTTAGATTCAGAATAATTTTTGCGAAATTATACACAAATTTTAGCTTACCCTATTCGGCAAGAATGGCGTTGCTATTTAAGCCCAAATATCAAGTTTTCCTTATTCGGCACGACATATATTTACATATTACCTATTCATCACAGTCTCCGGAGGTTGAGCCACCTTACCATATCTTGTAACTCATTCCATTGGTTCACCATGTCGAATTTACAGGCTAGTAGCTGTTATCCTAACCTGGTTAATTTACAGGCTAAGAGTTATTATCATCAGTTTATTTACAGGTTAAGAACAGTTATCTTAGTTTAATTCAAGACTCAGTCCTATCTGTGGGATACTACCAAAACCAAGGATGCTGCTACTGTAACATCCAGCTCTCAAGTGAGGCTCCTCCGAGGAATTGTATCTATCCATCTCATCCTTTGGATCGAACCTGAATGCCTCCATCCTTCCCCCCTTTTACGGGTTTAACGCTTCCCTCATCCCATTTTAGATTGTGTCTGCTGATGCAAAGTTATTACATGACAAAGTTTCGCCCTATGATGGATCGAAACATCGTCGTAAGGCGTTAGGTTAGTAAGTTTTGTCAGAAAACAGGACAAAAATAAGGTACATTGCCCTGCTAGCAGGCAGCATAGTGCCTCAGCCTTCCTCCCTAATTTATATCTTCAAGGGTGTGTATGTATATTCACTGTACTCGTGTATATGTGGCTGAAGGGGGCTAGAGGAGGTCGAGTCTTCGCTCCTGGCCCCCGCCTCAACTACAGTCGCTGGCATTGTTACTTCCTGACTTCATCCATAATTCGGTCAGCCCTGCACCAATCAAGTCACAGTGGTCCAAGATGGACCTTAACGTTAAGAGGTACCTCTTAGTAGTGCGAGTTTTCTGGTGAATTGTACCAGCCACGGTACAGTGACTTCTTTCTCATGGGCCTTATCATACCTACCCTTGAAATTATGTTTTGAGTTTGTCTCTAGCTGTTTAACTCTTGCCAAATTCTGAGTACCTTGTATATAAGCATCTTTCCCCTAGTACTCTTTTCTACATTCGTCAGGTATACCTGGAGTTTACCTGGAGGATATATGCTAAGTCTTTTGTAACAACTTAATTCTCTCGCTCCGGGACTAGCCATGATGCAAACCTTGGGATCTTTTCGATTTTTCATTCATATTTTCTAAACTAGAGCTTTATCCTGGTGCCAAACGCGTGCGTGCACGTGTGTAAACGATGGTGAGCGTACAAACAACTCTGGATAACAAAGTAAGAGGAAGAAGAGGTGAATTCGAATCAATGATGAGGTGAGGGGAAAGTGATTAGTATAAATATGAAATGCGAGGTTTTGGGTGAGCACCCTCTCCAGGGAGGTTCCTTGACGCTGGTAAGGGGCTCTTGACCCAGGGAATTGGATCTGTGCTCCAGTTCCCTGAATTGAGCCTGAATACCTTCCACCCCCTCCCCCCACATGCGCTGTATAATCCTACGGGTCTAGCGCTCCCCCATGATTATAATAATTTGGGTGAGCAAGAGTTGGTTCATTAGGTTTAAAACCTATCGATCTACACGAGGGTTATTAAGGCTACATGTCACCTAAACACCCGAAGTCAAGAATACTTTAATACCAAATATAGGGATTAAAGTAATTAAGGGTATATGTACTAAGCTATATAACCCTCTTTGTACATACATTGGCTCTCAGAATATAGTTTGAAGACATGGACAATGATGCGAGGGGTGAAAATAAGAGTGTAAACGATGAAGAGAATGTGTGTGTAAATTAAGTTAATGAATTCTGGAAAGTGAATGCGCGGGGGTGCTGGTGCGACTGGCAATGGTTGCAGCGTTAGTTGTGGTATTATTATTATTGGTAGTAGTGGTAGTAGAAGTAGTAGTGGTGGTGGCGGTGCTGGAGAAGGAACAATACGGAGGGCTACTACACCTACTGATGAGCGTGAGACAAGGAGTGGGCTCACAGCTCGCTTGCGTTACCTCCTGCGCCCCCTGCCTGAAGAAGTGTCAATCTCAGGTGCCCCTCGTCGTCCACTCCTACCGATTTGGAGCAGATGAAGAGGCAGGAACAGGCCAGTATGAAGAGGCAGCCAGGTAGGATGGTCGCTACTAGTAGGATGGTGGTGGTTAACTGTGGGTCGAATTTCCCAATGACGAACTCTTGACTCTTGTCGGTGATGTAGCAGGGATATCTGTCTGGAGTCATGCCATCAGAACCGTCGTGAGCATGGGTCTCGAAGAAGGCGGCGCATTCCTTACGTAGTGTGTTGACGCATCCCTCGGAGTTTATGCGTAGCTGAGTGTTGTTCATGACTCGGAGTGTGTGCTCTGGCGGGATGACCCAATCGGAGCGGTTGCCAAGGTTCTGGTGGAGCTGGAGGAGCTGCAAGTAATCCTTTAGGACTCTTACGTCTTCTACATTGGCTAGAGTGGCGTTGAAGCAATCTTCACTCAGTAAGTCGTATGTTTTCTTGCCAGTAACCTTCTGCACGTACGAGCAGAAAATGAGTAGAACCTGTTTTTTGTCCCGCCATTCTTGACTCGAGCTGACAGCCTCGATGTTGGCAGTGGTGTTGAGGGTGTTGTTGTCTGGCGAGTCCATGGACGAGCATGCTGTGGCCACAAGTCTCTCACGACTGAAGATAACTACGTTTCGCTCTCGCATTTCTAGCTTGGTACACTTGCGTTCACAGTCGCGCCAGTACTTGTGGATCTCCTTGAGGTGATGGCACGTACCAGCCTTGCAGGAGTATACTCCGTTAAGACGTTCTTCACATTTTTCTTCTGTGCACTTGATTGGAGTCCTCTCTACCTTACGGCTGTGACAAATAAACGCTGGAGTGAGGTTGCTGCAGCCATTATCATCGTCTTTTGTACAATAGTAGAGGCCGGTGAGATCTTTACACTGACCCTTCTTACAGTACCAAACTTGGGTTGCGTTTACATCAAGCGCCGAGCAGTTGTCGTCAGCAATGTCGACGCAGTCGCGAAAGTTGACTTTGGAGCCGTTGTTGCGTACCATGACGTGAATCTGCATGCATTTGCCAGAGCCCTTGGACAAGCACCACTCTCCACATGTCGACCAATCACACGACAACTTCTTACTCCCCGAGGCTATGTCTTTAGCCTCCACTGTCGTACACATTATGGGCGTCCTGTGAAAACCCATCCCCAGTTCGTCCTTCGAAGGAATAATAACGATGACTGCCAGGTAGAGCAGAGACACCCCAGACAAAATGGCTACCAACTGACACACGCAAATGCCTAAACAAATCTGCTTCTCGGCTGTCATGTTTGCTAGTTGATGTTACACCAGATAACAGGTAAGCACGAGTGTGTAGCGGCCACAGTTGAGAGCCACAAGGTAGCGTCCACCATAACACTGGCCGCTGTGGTGCGAGCCTCGCCCAGTCTTGTCTCAGGAATTTGTGTGCATGGCGTCAGGCACGGCAGGCACGAACATTCTCACTCATGCCCGATTCTCCCTCGCGAGCATAACGGCGACAACTGGTATGACTCCGGCTATGGGTTCTCCAAGTCCACCTACCACCGCATAATCACAAACTGGGAGAATTGTCATCAGTAGCGAAGCAAAGATGGCGTGCAAGTGACTGACGCAGGCGCCCTTCACCCTCATGGAACACAAGGAAGCTAAGTATAGAAATATTTACACGGAAACACCACACCCGCATTATCAACACCTGGAGAACCAAACTGATTTGCAACTTATCGATGCTCAGTTGAAACCATTTAATATTTTTGCTAAAAGAGTTAATGTTTATATAGTAATACATGGCACAGAGCGCCTGAGGTGCGCATGTGTGAGTGGCACTGCAGTAGTCTAGCGGGGAGAGGCCAAATAACCTTTTACCGCCACTAATTTCATTCCTTTTTTCCTATTTTATGCAGTTTTATAATTGGTTTACCAATGGAAAACGCAATCTCCCATATAAATTCAACCTGAATCCTTACGAATTAAACGAGACGGGATAAAATATAGACTGACAGAACTCTTATTATGTTAATGGAGAGGAGCGCTAGCCAGTCAGAGAGTGCCTGGGAAAAATGACAGGCAATCAAGTTCGATCCATGGGAGGTCAAGTCCAATTCCTAGGATCAAGAACCCCTTTATCGTCGTCAAGGAACCTCCCTAGAGGGGGGGGTGAGACTAGACAGATCAATACCTGGGTCGGGCCTTCACTGCACCACCGTTCTCTCTGGACACACTGCTTCCATTTTCTCTTAAACACATTCCAATTCATTCTTACTCCACTTGAACACTATGTGCTTAATTGTCCACTTATTGAGGAATACAGAGACAAACAGTATAATAACCTATGTGACATGTCAAGATATCTTATTAATGAAAATAAGATACCAGATATACTAAGCAAATTTCCTAAATTTGTTTGTAGCATATAAGTGAACTGTAGATATAAATCCAAATGTACACTTTGTAGCCTTCTGGGGCCTAGTTCCTAGGCCTTTTATGTATCCATATGCTCTTGTGCTACCCTCCACAGGATGGACATGGGTGCACAGTAAACTAGCCACTTCGATGGCAAAATCTAAATCTAATCCTTGTTATATTCATTCAAAATCTCTGTGAATGGTTGGTTATTGGGGTTTAAAAACCTGTTGACTACACGTAACATGTTTACTTCGTGTATATACCCTCACTATCCTCAAAAAATCATATACTGGGTTAATATTTACTTCAAGCCAGGGTTCTTTAAATAAACGATAGTTAATTAAGTAAATTCTCCAGTATTAAGCAGGTTATGCAATGGTAACAGTTATATTTTGGAAACAGAAAGGTTCTTTTTAATCAGTCATAACCTATAAAGTCACCGTTCATCACCTTCGCTTGTTAAGCAAGTTTGAAGCCTATCGACTGCATAAGTGTCAACAAGGCTGCAATTCTGTACACTAACATCACCTAGATATATTTCAGTCGCTGTACGATCCCCATACTAGTCTCCTGTACCTTAATACACACGAAAGGAATAGTGTAGAGTGCGGCATTAGTTCAGTAATAACATTGAAGATTTTAAGTATTTAAGTAAATGATTAGCGGTAGTTTATGGAAAGCTACAAGAGGTAAAAAAAAAAAATGTCCCAGAGTGGACATTTATATGACTTATTGATATAACAACACTAACAAATACACAAAATTAAAACCAAGAGAAGGTTTGGAAAATGTGTAAGAAGCAGATGAGACTTTGAATAATGTCATGTATTAACACAAGTGATGTTAGAACTGACAATAAAAGCGGAGTTGTGTTCCATCATGCACGTCACTACAACTTTGATATAGATTTTGAAGTTTGCTCACTAAATATGTTCACAAACAAGAATTTTAGGGTGAAACCTAGTATTGGTTCCAAACTTTCATCAAAGTAATTCTTGTCTAAGTCACTGGATATCTTGCATTATGGTTGAAAATAAAATAGGTTTTGGGAGTCGAGTAACAACTTGGCTGTTTCTCAGCAAGTTGACCCAAATGAGAAATTCACCCTCAATCAATAGTTGTCTTTGCTGAAGTGCAGAGATATACCTGGAGTTTACCTGGAGAGAGTTCCGGGGGTCAACGCCCCCGCGGCCTGGTCTGTGACCAGGCCTCCTGGTGGATCAGAGCCTGATCAACCAGGCTGTTGCTGCTGGCTGCACGCAAACCAACGTACGAGCCACAGCCCGGCTGGTCAGGAACCGGCTTTAGGTGCTTGTCCAGTGCCAGCTTGAAGACTGCCAGGGGTCTGTTGGTAATCCCCCTTACGTGTGCTGGGAGGCAGTTGAACAGTCTCGGGCCCCTGACACTTATTGTATGGTCTCTTAACGTGCTAGTGACACCCTGCTTTTCATTGGGGGGATGGTGCATCGTCTGCCATGTCTTTTGCTTTCGTAGTGAGTGATTTTCGTGTGCAAGTTCGGTACTAGTACCTCTAGGACTTAAGAAATCGTAATGACACGATTGCAAATAAACCATACCCCCGGCCGGGATTGAACCCGCGGTCATAGAGTCTCAAAACTCCAGCCCGTCGCGCTAGCCACTAGACCAGCTAGCCACAATAAGATTCATCCAACTAGGTATATTTCTACACCATAGGAAAGTTAGCACAGGCACCTCTGTGACCACAAATGCAAGTTTTTACAGACGAATCTCCAGAGGTGCCTGTGCTAACTTTCCTATGGTGTAGAAATATACCTAGTTGGATGAATCTTATTGTGGCTAGTGGTCTAGTGGCTAGCGCGACGGGCTGGAGTTTTGAGACTCTATGACCGCGGGTTCAACCCCGGCCGGGGTAGGGTTTAGTCCCTCTAGGATTTTCCAGGTGTATATAATCATGTATCTCCCCCCGCCTGCGTTCCAGGGAATACAGTTTGGGAAACCCTCAGGCGCTCCCAGTAATTGAGGTGTTTTATCTCCGTTTATGCGCGCCGTGAAATTTTCTCTGTACATTTTCTAGGTCGGCAATTTCACCTGCCTTGAAAGGTGCTGCTTGTGTGCACCCAATATTCCAGCCTGATAGAACAAGTGACCTGAAGAGTGTCATCATGGGCTTGGCCCCCCTAGTTTTGAAGGTTCTCATTATCCATCCTGTCATTTTTCTAGCAGATGCGATTGATACAATGTTATGGTCCTTGAAGGTGAAAATCCCCCGGGACAAAAATCACCCCCAGGTCTTTGACGTTGGTGTTTCGCTCTATTTTGGGCCAGAATTTTGTTTTGTACTCTGAGAAGATTTAATTTTCTCATGTTTACCATATCTGAGTAATTGAAATTTCTCATCGTTGAACTTCATATTGTTTTCTGCAGCCCCCTGAAAAATTTGGTTGATGTCCCCCCTGGAGCCTTGCAGTGTCTGCAATGGAAGACACTGTCATGCAGATTCGGGTGTCATCTGCGAAGGGAAGACACGGTGGTGTGGCTGACATCCTTGTCTATGTCGGATATGAGGATGAGGAACAAGATGGGAGCGAGTACTGTGCCTTGTGGAACAGAGCTTTTCACCGTAGCTGCCTCGGACTTTACTCTGTTAACGACTACTCTCTGTGTTCTGTTAGTGAGGAAATTATAGATCCATCGACCGACTTTTCCTGTTATTCCTTTTAGCACGCATTTTGTGCGCTATTACGCCATGGTCACACTTGTCGAAGGCTTTTGCAAAGTCTGTATATATTACATCTGCATTCTTTTTGTCTTCTAGTGCATTTAGGACCTTGTCGTAGTGATCCAATAGTTGAGACAGACAGGAGCGACCTGTTCTAAACCCATGTTGCCCTGGGTTGTGTAACTGATGGGTTTCTAGATGGGTGGTGATCTTGCTTCTTAGGACCCTTTCAAAGATTTTTATGATATGGGATGTTAGTGCTATTGGTCTGTAGTTCTTTGCTGTTGCTTTACTGCCCCCTTTGTGGAGTGGGGCTATGTCTGTTGTTTTTAGTAACTGTGGGACGACCCCCGTGTCCATGCTCCCTCTCCATAGGATGGAAAAGGCTCGTGATAGGGGCTTCTTGCAGTTCTTGATGAACACAGGTTCCATGAGTCTGGCCCTGGGGCAGAGTGCATGGGCATGTCATTTATCGCCTGTTCGAAGTCATTTGGCGTCAGGATAACATCGGATAGGCTTGTGTTAATCAAATTTTGTGGCTCTCATAAAAAATTCATTTTGATCTTCGACTCTCAGTCTGGTTAGCGGCTTGCTAAAAACTGAGTCATATTGGGACTTGAGTAGCTCACTCATTTCCTTGCTGTCATCTGTGTAGGACCCATCTTGTTTAAGTAGGGGCCCAATACTGGACGTTGTTCTCGATTTTGATTTGGCATAGGAGAAGAAATACTTTGGGTTTCTTTCGATTTCATTTATGGCTTTTAGTTCTTCCCGCGATTCCTGACTCCTAAAGGATTCTTTTAGCTTAAGTTCGATGCTTGCTATTTCTCTGACCAGTGTCTCCCTACGCATTTTAGATATATTGACCTCTTTTAGCCGCTCTGTTATTCTTTTCCGTCGCCTGTAAAGGGAGCACCTGTCTCTTTCTATTTTACATCTACTCCTCCTTTTTCTTAGAGGAATAAGCCTTGTGCATACATCGAGTGCCACCGAGTTAATCTGTTCTAGGCATAAGTTGGGGTCTGTGTTGCTTAGTACATCTTCCCAGCTTATATCGGTTAGGACTTGGTTTACTTGGTCCCACTTTATGTTTTTGTCATTGAAGTTGAATTTGGTGAATGCTCCCTCGTGACTAGTCTCATTTTGTCGGTCTGGGGCTCCACGCATATATGTCTGAACCTCAATTATGTTGTGATCTGAGTATATTGTTTTTGATATGGTGACATTTCTTATCAGATCATCACTGTTAGTGAAGATGAGGTCTAGTGTATTCTCCAGTCTAGTAGGCTCTATTATTTGCTGGTTTAAATTGAATTTTGTGCAGAGATTTAAAAGCTCGTGTGAGTGTGCAACTGACCCACCAAACCGGAGCAACCCTTCCCCAATGTACTTCCCACCTCCAGAATCAAAATAATTTTTAAAGTGGTGGAGGGGTAAGCCAGTGGAAGGCTTCTGTCAGATGACCAAATCCTCCAGTGGCGGGTCATCATGTGACTAACACCCGCGTCAGGAAACTTGTCCTGTTTCCTGACGAATCTTACCTAACCTAATCTCCAGAACGTATGTTCATCTAACTAATTTGCCTGAATCTCTTCCTAGAT